AATTTACTAAATTCCTTGTTAAAAATAGATGCTGCGATTGATACATATACATTAATATAAGAAATGAGATGATTATTCTTTATTAATAATCATTCACGTTAATAATACATTCGAAATAATGATCATAGTTGACAATACTGATACCATTTTCGTTAATAATCCTCTAATTGTTGAAAAATATACGGGTTTTAAATCTAAACTGGCGCCAGTTCGTTAAACGTGTAGTGTTGTATTGCAGATACCCTCGAACCCAAAACCAATTGCTTAAAAATTCATGTATTGTACAGTTCAATAACCAAATATGTGTCGTTAGAAAAAAATTTTATCCGTAATGTAACATGTACGTCGTAATTCGTCTGTATTATTTGGTGGAAAAAAATTCGATCTACGAACTGGTGCACGTATCTGGATACGAGGTTACGCGCAAGTCGTTGGATATCGACTTCCTGTGGATGTCATAGTGGGGTTACTCGGGACGTTCTTCTGCTCGTTGCTCGTCCCTGTCTCGATCGTTCATCGTTTCTGAATTCGCAGTCCGGTTGACGGGCTTGTAACACATCGAAATGGCTCTGTCTTTACGTTTGGCTACTTCGATAGCGAGACAATTGTCAAACAACACGATCCAGGTAATGCGAGAAGGATAATACCCGGTCTGTGACTTATTTAGGACGAAAACATCTGAGTGGAACATGCCGACATTTTCCACTTTGCGACAACCGCACGGGTCCATACGTTGCTATAGTTAATCTTCGCTCTTGATAAATTGAAACGTATATTTAACTAACTACAGTAATTTTTATCTATAATTCTGTAACAATCGAATCGAGTGTCACGAATTTTTATGCAGTAGATTACATAAACAGAATAGCATCAAGTTATGTAATATGTATTTGGATGGTATATTTCCAAAGTACATGATTATACTGGGTTTCAATTATTTTTTTAGACGAAATGGCCTCTTTGCATAGCTTCTTGCAAGTACCATGTATCTTGCAGTCGGCGTTCAGTCGAAATTTCTTCTATCTTGGAAGATCGTATTCTTGGCGCAGCCCCTAAGGTAAGTTAAATCATGTGCACACTTCAACGAAGTAACTCGTATATACAGGGTACTAATTTAAACTAAATGTTATGTAATATGTATAGGCCAATCTTGAGGAAACTGGTAGAGTGCTTAGCATTGGTGACGGTATCGCCCGTGTTTATGGCCTTAAAAACATCCAGGCTGACGAGATGGTGGAATTTAGTTCAGGGCTAAAGGGTATGGCTCTGAATTTGGAGCCGGACAATGTTGGTATTGTAGTCTTTGGTAATGACAGACACATCAAGGAAGGTGATATCGTAAAACGTACTGGAGCCATTGTCGATGTTCCGGTGGGAGATGAATTGCTGGGACGTGTCGTAGATGCCTTAGGAAATCCTATCGATGGTAAAGGACCACTAAATAATAAATTGAGATTCCGTATTGGTACCAAAGCACCCGGCATCATTCCTAGGTAGGTAGTAATTGCATCATTGTCTCTGTCTATATTTTGCATTCGACGTTTCTTATACGTTAAATATGTTCTTAAAGGGTATCTGTAAGAGAACCCATGCAAACTGGAATCAAAGCTGTAGATTCTTTAGTACCCATTGGTCGTGGACAACGTGAATTGATCATTGGAGACAGACAGACGGGAAAAACTGCTCTTGCCATCGATACAATTATTAACCAGAAACGATTCAACGACGCTGGAGAAGAAAAGAAGAAACTGTATTGTATTTACGTTGCTATCGGTCAAAAGAGATCTACTGTAGCCCAAATACTAAAACGTTTGACGGACAGCGGTGCTATTAATTATACGATCATTGTGTCCGCTACTGCTTCTGATGCAGCGCCTCTTCAGTATTTAGCTCCATACTCTGGATGCGCCATGGGAGAATTCTTTAGGTGCTTAATTTATTTTTTCAAACTGATTTTGAGTTTGACGATGTATCATATTTAATTTTTAACGATTGCAGAGATAATGGAAAACACGCTTTAATTATTTATGACGATTTGTCGAAACAAGCTGTTGCCTATCGACAAATGTCTTTGCTGCTGAGGAGACCACCGGGTCGTGAAGCGTACCCTGGTGATGTGTTCTATCTCCATTCCCGTCTGCTTGAACGAGCGGCTAAGATGAACGAGAGCCTAGGAGGCGGTTCGCTAACGGCTTTGCCTGTTATTGAAACACAAGCCGGCGATGTGTCCGCTTATATCCCCACGAACGTGATTTCCATTACGGACGGTCAAATCTTCTTAGAAACAGAATTGTTCTACAAGGGTATCCGACCTGCGATTAACGTAGGTTTGTCAGTATCTCGAGTCGGTTCAGCTGCTCAGACAAAGGCCATGAAACAGGTATGAATTTACTGACGAGAAATAATGTTTAAACTAATTCTAAATATATTTAATGGATTTAATTTTCTTCCTCAGGTTGCCGGTTCCATGAAACTGGAATTGGCTCAATACCGTGAAGTAGCAGCCTTCGCGCAATTCGGTTCCGATTTGGATGCCGCCACTCAGCAACTGTTGAATCGTGGTGTCAGACTGACGGAACTTCTCAAACAGGGACAATATGGTAAATTATCATAATATATATGTTATCATAAATGTAAAAGAGTCAATGAAGTTAGGAATAAGATAAGTATTCCTTTACTTCTTTAGTACCCATGGCTATTGAAGAACAGGTTGCTGTTATCTATTGTGGTGTCCGTGGATATCTTGATAAGATGGATCCCACGAAAATTACTGCCTTTGAAAAAGAATTCCTTGCCCACATTAGGTAATTGTCTCGAATTACTGTGCGCTTAAACATGCTTTCGTACTCGTATTCACATTACTTTTATATTGTTTCAGGAATACCCAACGGGATCTCCTGAATACTATCGCCAAGGAAAACTTGATCAGCGAGGCATCCGATGCGAAATTAAAGCAAGTTGTTACTGACTTCCTTGCATCCTTCTCAGGTTAAAAATCGTCAGTATAAAGTAACTAATAATTCTCTGCTATGCAAGAGCCACGTGCAAACGGTGTTCGTCGTTGTAAGAACGTTTTGATGAATGCCATTTGCGCGTTACGAATATTCATTATCAAGAATTCCACATTTAAATATTAAACTCACGATAGTCATGCGAATGCTTCTATACATTACATGTTGGCTGTTAATAAAATTAAAAGTACAACTTTTGGTAAGCAGACAGTTACTTCTCCCGAAAGAGATGTCGAACATAACAGAGACGGGAGAAGTTAAGAGGATGAGTAATAAAATTCTAGAATTTTTTCAGGCCTGTCTCATTTATTCCCCTTGTACAATTTTTTCCTGTTATGCGATGTGTCATCCTTTATTTTTACAATAAACTATTTAAATATTCGAAATGAAGATTATATTATTTACGATGACATATATTGAGGTCCGATGCAGACGGGCTTGCAACAGCGTCTTGCCGCGGCGAGCATAGGTTATTCTCTTTAAATAACTAATCGTCTGCATCGGGCCTAATATCTCCACGTTTTATAATATTCGATGAGCGCGAAAATAAGATAACAATCGAAAAAAGGGTTTTATCAAAATAGTATAATCAGAGAGAGTTTTTCTCTGGTATGATTATCAAGAATGATTCATATACTCAACAGCAGTCGGCAAGTTAGCAGCGACTTGGCAGCGACTATCGTTGGCATTGCCGTATACTTCATGATTACTAAACTAATTTATATATATGTAATAGCAGTCAATTGTTCAAATTTAATAAGGAAATAAATAAGTCGAATAAAGAAGAATGACTTCTGTCACTGAAGTTAATTCGTTAACAAAAACGAAAAAACCATCAGGTACGTCGATTATAATTTTAACTTTCAGTTAGGTTACGTTCGTTTGATTTTTACTTTACATTCAATGTGTCAATCATTTAGACAGTTGTAATGAATAAATATTTTATCATGAAGTGTGTTCTTTGTTTAAATAGATAGCGCGTTTAAACAACAACGTCTACCTGCTTGGCAACCAATACTTACTGCTGGCACTGTTCTGCCAACGTTCTTTGTAATCGGAATCGCTTTTATACCAGTTGGAGTTGGATTGCTCTACTTCTCAGATCAAGTTAAAGAATTCATTCTTGATTACACCGACTGCAATTCTACAAATATCCACCGCCCGAATGGGATAAGATGCGCAGAAGTTATAGCAGCTAATCCCACAGACTTTTGTACTTGCGACATAAATTTCACGTTGCCTTACGATTTTAATGGGAAGATTTACATGTACTACGGTCTAACTAATTTCTATCAGAACCACAGACGATACGTGAAATCAAGAGATGATAATCAACTGTTAGGCAAGCTGAGTGAAACCGTCTCCGGAGATTGCGAGCCGTTTGCTCGTGATGACGACAATAAACCAATCGTACCCTGCGGTGCTATTGCTAATTCGTTATTTAGCGATTCACTGGAATTATATTCCGAGAAGCACAATGGATCTGTACCATTGTTGAAAACTGGTATAGCCTGGCCTTCGGATAAGAATATTAAGTTTAGAAATCCCGAGGGCGATTTAACAAAAGTATTTAATAAGAGTAATTACGCGAAGCCAAAGAACTGGACTAAATATATTTACGAATTAGATGATGATCCTAGCCACAATAATAACGCGTTTCAAAATGAAGATTTGATCGTATGGATGAGAACTGCTGCATTGCCTAATTTTAGAAAACTCTATCGTAGAATTGATCATACAAAACGTGGCTTTACCGATGGTCTACTAGCAGGGCACTATACCCTTCACCTTAATTATTGTGAGTATAAAATATAGTCGTGAATTATAGTGCTAAAAATAATTTCATAAAACAATGTTTCTTGACTACAGCATATCCCGTGTCTGCCTTTGATGGCAGAAAGAAGATGATCCTGAGTACTACCTCCCTCCTCGGTGGAAAGAATCCTTTTCTTGGTATCGCTTACATAGTTGTTGGATGCATTTGTTTACTGTTAGGCGTCACACTACTCATAATACATATCAAATGCTCCAAAAGGTAAAGATCTATCTTATATAACAAATTATATTTTTTTTTCATTCTCACTAAATGGTGTTACGCTTATAGGGAATTAAAATATGCAATTGCTTTCAAAATGAATTATTTCTAACTGAAACAATAATAATATGAATAGAAACAACGACATACTTTTATTTGTCATCTGTATTCTTTATATTACTGCATTTACTGTTAAGCTACTTTAAGAATCCTAAAAACTTGTGTGTTTAAATGATCCATTCAACACTATATATTTTCAAGGAAACTGTTAGCTTGGCAGTAAGTGCACATATTGAGATTTATAAGAATTTTTGATAACATAAATTACGAATTGAATTGCTAAGAGTGATACTACTTAAAAACTACATAATCTATATCAATTTGACAATAAACCGTTATATAATGTATGTTATACAGCAAACTAATGTAAGATGACTGCAACAAAGTATGCTTAGGGCACCGTAATTGTTCTTGTAAGTGTTTGTGATATTGTCTTATGTCTACTCTGCAAGAATTCTAGTGATATTGTCTTATGTGTGAGATGGCTTAATGAGTATTTAATTAAAATACTTGTTTCTTCTTAATTTTTACCATGAAATTTCATTGTATCTCTGATCTAAATTTGATGAATGTACATTTTCGTTACAGGCTATTCGAGTGCATGCAATTACGTATTATTTTATTTATTATTTATTGCGTTTTAAGGTGTATTATAATATGAACAATTCATACGACCTACTGATAATTCATACTATTTATATTTCATTTGCTATTATGCTTTATACGTTGCATAATCTTTTTTAGTAATATTTTATTATTTGAGAGTAATGCATAACGAAACCAATTAACATCCGAATTATTGCATAATACTTGTATGCATTTTTTTTAAGTTTTGTTATAATTACATATATTTAGTTGTTCAGATGTATAATTGCTTCTATAGGAGGTAAGATGCAGAAAACGTAAACTTGGCTTAGATATTTTATTAAGAACCGTATTTAATTAAAACATGTTTGTTTGCATTGGATGAACTAATTATTTTGCCTCGTATCATACAAATGGGCTTGCAATGGATACTTTATTAATTCTATATACCTTCAGTTTTTTTTCATGCCATTTCATTGTGTAACTTTATTATGTATCTTTTAGCGCAACAGAGATGATCAACGTGACTCCGAACACGCCATACCAAGAATAATTACAAAATACAGTTGTTGCATAAAAGTCGAAGAACGTTCTGGACATTCTGCATTTAATTTGTAAGTGATAATCGTTAAACAATTTGGCAATTGATGAAACGGATACTTAAAATAATTCTTGATTCAGTTTGTGTTTTAGAGAAGAATGGTAACGGTCGTTAAAACTAATAGAACAAAACTTTCATCTATTCTAGTTGATACTTCAATCATTTTTCTTGTCATTCTTGTATTAATTGTTATTCTATGCATAAAGTATTCGAATTTCTTATTGTTATATAAATATATATATATATATATATATATATGTAGAGAATATAAAATGTGCAAACACAATATAACATTTATGCACAATTGTGTTGCAAAAGGATGTATCAGTGATGAACTGATTTTTAATTAAGAACATAGCTACTTATATATTTTATATGTACATGTGTTAAGATACTCGAAATAAAACGAGACGAAGCTATAATGAGACACCTACACGTAGCAATCTAACTATAATTTTGATCAGTTCAACGAATAAAAAATGTTATTAATAGTTTTTATGTGAATCAAATTTTTGTGTATCTTAATACATTATTAAATGTTATTTTATGTGTAACATACTTGACGAACTAAGTATTTTTAGTTTTACTCTAGTCAGTCACGAATGTATAAATAATGAAAATAAAAGAATCACAGTATTTATATTCACGTACGTTTGTGTGTTCATCAATTTTGGGAACCCTACCCCTCGATTATGCACCGTCCTTTAGGTCCATGGTAAGCACTCTCATTTCTTCTCGTTCCTCTCTGACAACAACCGCCGTCAGCGCTCCACATGCAATGCATGCCACACTGCAATGTACGTATATGTACGTACTTGTGTAAGATAATAATGAGTGCGTGTGCACTACAGTGTAAAAAGACGGAAACTACGAAACTGAATTGTTTGTCTTTCTTCATACAAATTTCTCTACAAGTACATATTACAGATATTACCTATGATAGATGGATCACTGGGAAAACTGTAGAACATAACAAATAAGTTGCCTCATTTTCGTTTTCTCAACAATTGAACGTCGATCGAGCAATACACATTGCTATAACACATAATTGAAATGCATATTGGAAGAATAGGTTGTAACGGCGGGTCAACAGATAAAACTGCGATTATAATTCACTTTATGATTTAATTATGTTTGTAGTACAAGCTGTACACATAGCGCGGAGCAAATATTATTTGTAATTTACTGTGCGCAAGAACTAAAACGTAGAAAGTTATTGTGTAGTACAGAAGGCATTTCGGCATAATACTTGAAACAATTAAGGTAGTACATCTACAATCTCTCAAAACATACTACATATATATTATCAAATCGCGTCCTAATTTGCAGCAGTTATTGTAATAAAATTTAGCATTCGACAATCGAAAACTTATTGCGAATACCTATAGAAATCTAGCGTAATTGGCTACCGCCGCGTGAACTTCAAGAGTGTACGAAGCAAACGTAAAAATACGGGCTAAATCGTTCGATCTGATCAGGTCAATTGGACAACAATAGTAGCTCGTCCGTGTGTGGTAGGTGTAAAAATCTGATTTGGAGAAAATTCATTTGAAGAGACAAAATTTGAATCGATTGAAATTGTTCTAAGGTACTTAACACAGGCTTTATCACCTGCGTTGAAGATAACGCGTTCGAGTGGTCGTTCGAGAATCGTTGGCATCACGTCGTCGTCGTCGTCACACATTGCTGACCAAGGCAATCGAGATCAACGATTACCCGCCGCGCGGCATACAAATTCAAAGGTAGCAGCAGCAGCAACAGCCTCGGTAGCCGTTGATCAGACCTATTTCTTTACTTCTAAACATCTTCCATCTACCTCCTCTGCCTCGCTACTCATTCGATTACCAGTCCTCGTGCCGGTAATAAATGTTCGCGATCATTTCAAGCTCGCATCCTACGTTATTATATGCTGGAAGGACGTCCACTGGCCGGCACGATTTCATTTCCGTTTTAAACGGTTCGCGATTTCGACACGGAAGCGGCTACGCGAAGAAAAAGAACGCAGTCACGACCAAGTATCGCGAGCGCGCGTGCGATATGCTTCGGTTAACGCTTATCACGTTTTGTCGTCGAAGAAGTCGGTGCTACGATGCCCGGAAATTCACGATATCTGCAAACACTGCTACTTCTCTGCGTCGGTTCTACGATTTTCTGTGCGATTTTTATTACTTTCGAAAGCCTCTCTTCTACCGGGAGAATCTGGAAGAAAGAAGTTGCGAGGCACGAGGAACATCCAGCGAAGGAAACGCGAGACAGTTTAACGACATTGCCGCATAAACGGTATATGACTACAAGAGAACGAGAACGGGAACGGGAACAGGTTGGTCCAAATCAGAATCGTTTTCGAACGACGACGGATTCGATGATCGTTATAAAGAATGCATACATATAAGTATCGCAGAAGATTCTAATTCGCGCCTCTACCACTTCGTCCGTCACAGATTTATAGAACGTCGTTGCTTGGGAGATGGCTACTCTCCTCGGAGGGAAGCTTACCACCGCCGATAGTAAACAATAAAAAGAAACCGTTCCTGATTTTAATTTGGAAGCACGGCAAGTTTCTGGAGCGCAGACACATCAAACGTTTCACCGATAAAAAGTTAATATCACGTAACACCGGATGAAAGCTTGCGATCGTATTCGTCGCAGTAGTAGTATATTGTAGTTTTGGATTTTGAATTAAAAATTTAGAACGTAATTCGAATCCTTCGCTTATAGATTCTCGCCTTGGGAGAATTGTACGGTAAAAAAGTGCGTGTTGAGCTACCGATCGGAAGATATAGACACGGCCGACGCGGTCGTGTTTCATTTGCATTTGACGCGAAACGCGATGGAATTGCCGGCTAGAACTCGATGGGATCAAAGATGGATATTTTTGACCGACGAATCGCCGATCCATACGTTCCTCTACGGGAATCAGGAACTATCCACGTACAACGGTCTGTTCAACTGGTCGATGAGCTATCGGATGAACAGCGACGTGCCGGTGCCTTACGGACGAACAGTTTCTAGATCGTTCATAAATTCGCCGAGCATAAACTTCCCGAGCAGGGAACCGATCGTGAAGATGAAAACGAAACTGGTCACAGTGATGGGTAGCAATTGCGCGGGCGTGAACGGGCGATGGAATTATATCAAGCGATTGAAGGAGATCCTTGGTACCGATCTCGACGTGTACGGCAGATGTCTGAACGGCAACGCGACCGCGTGCCCGGGTCATTTCGACAGAGATTGTCCAGTTTTGAACGCGTACAAGTTTTATCTAGCTTTCGAGAATTCCAATTGTAAAGATTACATCACGGAGAAAGTATTTTGGCACGGTTATCACAAATTAGCGGTGCCGGTGATAATGGGCGCGCCGAAGAAAGACTGCGAGCGATTATTACCGCCGCGTTCGTTCCTTCACGTTACCGATTTCGCCGATCCATCTGCTCTGGCCAATTATATCAAGTACCTTGGCCAACACAATGACAAGTATCTCGAATATCACGAGTGGCGAAAATATTACAAAGTGATCAATGAACACGGCTACTTCGGCAGTGTTTCGACCCATTATTGCCGCATCTGCGAGGCCCTACATTACAATCCTCCTACGACCAAAGTGTACCGACACATGGAATCGTTTTTTGACAAAAAACGCGATTGTGTCCTGTGACACATGATTCTTATTAATCGTGGTGCATTAAAATGTTGCTTTACTATCCCAATGTTACGTGTTCAATTATAATAAACTTGGTCGATCCTTGACACTACTGTTGACTACTACTGCTGCTGCTGCTGCCGCTGCTATCAAAGAAAAAAACTAATTCTCTCTGCTATTGCTACATACAGTAGTAGATATACTAGCTTCGTGCATGATAAAAGATCGTAACAATAAAAGTACGCGCGTAAGTACACGTTGTTCCATATGATTTATTATTTCAATACTTGAATTTCTTCCGTTTCATTGCTCGACTCAATTTTCAACCATCGAACGCGTAACATATATGTATTGTACAATAGAGATTACGAACAGGCGTATAATAAAACAATTAAATCGAAATTATACGTATATATATATATAATGCTCATGCCGTCACATGGCTGATTTAAATCTTATCTCTGAAGTGTCAGGTTAGAATGCCATTCTGTATCAACGTACTCTACGTGCCACGATGAAATCATGTTTCGTAGAGACTTCCAACGGAGCTTGTACATATGTTCAAGGCACGACGAAGCAATTTCGACTTTCAACAGCCGACGATTTCTCTATCGGCCATCGCCACCACCGCCGCCGCCGCCGCCGCCGCCGCCACCACTGCCGCTGCATAGATTCGTAAATGTTCGAAAATATAATACTAACAACGTTACTGCTAATACTTCGAAACTCTGTTGCGTTACCACAGTGCTCGGGCGACAACGATTCCCATTGAGAATCGACCGATCCGTCCTGTTCTTTCCCGCTGTAATATATTACAAAACGCGTTCCACTACCAATACTGATCTGTGTTCCGTAACTATGGCTTCGAAATGCTTCAAAGGACACAACGATCATTATAACGGCGTGACTATCGATTCGAACGAAGAATCTTGCACTTCTGAAGAATTTGCTGATCGCCTGTCAAGTAGGTAGAGGTGATGATAGGGAATGAAAAGTGTCTCACCACAAATGGTCCGTCGGCATCCGTTCTCGAGTTCAGTTTAATCACTACTAATGATATACTCATGCTTACGTTTCATAGAATCTTTGCAGCAGTGGATGCATGAGAAGAGACGGACGATATGGTTTCGTGTATATTTGGCGCATTCAGAATGGATACCTGTACTTACGAAGGAAGGATTCAAATTTCATCATGCGAGACAAGAATATGTTGTGCTGTACCGATGGTTGATCGAAGACGAAGGGTGCAACGTACCTCATTATGCACACACTAATTTAGGCGTTGGAGGATTCGTTTATAACGAGAAATCTAACGAGGTTTTAGTCGTAAAAGAGAAATACTACAACAGAAAGGCAGTATGGAAACTGCCAGGTGGTTACGTGGAACCAGGTAGACAGAATTCATCTCTCGAGGTCCTCTCATGATTCTTTCTTTCAAACGAAGTACGCTTGTTTATTTAGGAGAAGATATAGAGCAGGCTGTAAGAAGGGAAGTATTGGAGGAGACTGGTGTTCACACCGAGTTCAACTCTATAATAGCTTTTAGACACGCTCACGACGTCGCATTTGGTTGTTCCGACGTGTATATAGTCGCTTACTTGTCTCCCATCGATCACTGTATCAAGAAGTGTGAGAGAGAAATTTCTGAATGTGTATGGATGAAGGTACGTTTATACACATTGTTTGTTACTTGACAAATGCTTGTTACAAGTTAATAAGTTCGATGTCACTTTGCACTCACTTTGTGTACGCAGATAGACAAGTACATAAAACACCCAGAGGTGTTTGAGCATAATAAATGGGTGGCAAAGAAAATGTTAGAACTTCTTAAGCACAAAATGAGTATCGTTATGGAACATTCGGTCCATCCTGTAACGAAAAAGCCTGTCTCCTTGTATAGCGTATCTAAAATGAACAGTGCATAATATACAACATACGTACGTACGATATCATTACTTTTGTACAAAGTACAATTTCAAAATATAACAATTATTTTGAAGGATAAACAAGTGAAACGTCAAGAATGGATTTTCAGATAAACTTACAGAATAAGAAATGCACACAGTACATTCTTTTTTAACACGTTGACGCCGGCGCGAGATTTTTATGATTTTTTCCGATCCGGTGTTAGTTAATTCCGGTTAAATTATAAGTTATGTGTTTTGTATTGAATATTTGATTATAATATTGAAATGTTAATGAAGAATGTTAAATCAATAAAATAACATTTTGTACTACGTAAGAAGCGTGACCCATCGGTGGGTCACGCCGGTGTCTACGTGTTAATACAAAATTACAACTACAATAAAATATCTGAGTAATAGTTCAATTCGATCATCATTGACAACCTGCCTGTGTAACACGTTTCTCCGTGGTCTCTTCATTTAGACGTCTCAACGAAACATCATCTTTTAACGTGTCTAAAATTTCACTTCTAAAAGAAGAAACTGAAATATTTGCACATTCGGACTTCTTAAAAAGTAAATGATGGTGGTGGCGACAGCGGCGGTGGTGGTGGTGGTGATCAACGAACGGGCTAGCGCTGGGGTTGCAGCAGGTATGCAGCGGCAGGCACTCGTGGACGTGGACCGGTATTCAGATTCAGAGTCGTTGCTTATTAAGATCATCTTAAGAATTTGCTATCCCTGTCTATCCCATATTTGTACTGGGAACAGGGACTTAAGCAAAGGCAAATGCTTAAGACGATCTTGAGAATAAGCAACGAGTCTGAATATCGGCCGTGGTCTGTAGGCAGGTCGCAGGTCGACCGACGCCGACAGGCGGCACTGGGCACAATGTTTATTGAAAATGTGGCTTAACGTCGGGAGATAACGTGCACGGAAGCTCCCTTCAGCTTCAGCTCTGTTTATGGTATATATTTACCACTCAGAGATGCCAGTTTGAGGACGGGAGTCAATGAGAATCATCCCTTCCACTTACGCATACTATCGCACCGTATCCGTGTGCCCCGAGCTCGGCTTAAGTTCGGCTAAGTAGAGAGAGAAGGCAAAACATGAGTCGTCGTCAGTTGGCTGCACGCTGCTCGGATCTTATCTCGTCAGGAGCATGGGCGACAGACTGATGTTTCGCTTTCTCTCTCTACTAAGCCGAACTTGAGCCGAACACACGGATACGGTGTGATAATGTGCGCAAGTGGAAAGGGTAATTCTCGTTGGTTCCCGTGCTCAAACTGGCATCTCTGTAATGCCACTTCCCGTTGTGTACTTCCTTGTCGTACTGTCGTACTGTCGCACTTTGGTCAATGATCGACAAGTCTAGCGATAGGAAGGAGAACCGAAAAACGTAGTTGCGTACACTCGTTTTCTAGGGTTAAGCGGTCAAGGCAGTCCTCTTTTATTATTTCGTTGGTCGGTTCATCGGCGGAGTCCTCGCGGTCATACCTTCCCCGAGAGTAAGGAACGTCGTCCAAACGGTCCGACGTGAACAGACATATGTGGAAACGTGTACGCCACGGGCACAAGATTTGATGCCAAAATGAGTAAGATGTACACGACCGCCAACCTCTCCGACAAGGAGCTGAAGGAAGAAGGGAATCGTCTTTTTAATCTTCATAAATACGAGGACGCGTCGCACTGCTACACCAAAGCAATTGTGAGTGCAACTATGACTCTATGCAGGCAAGTTACGACGACATTGCATCTCGTTGCTACAGATTAAAAATCCAACCCAAGCGCTATACTTTACGAACCGAGCGCTGTGTAACCTGAAATTGAAACGATGGGAATCGTCCTGTCTAGACTGCAGACGTGCTCTCGATATCGACCCGTGTTTGGTGAAAGGTCATTTTTTCTTGGGTCTAGCTCTCCTTGAAATGGAGCTCTTCGACGAAGCTGTTAAACATTTGCAAAGAGGTATGTTTACGCTACGTTTTCGCTCATTACCACCTGGATCTTACCATCCTGGTTTTCTTCTCCGCCGGGAAAGATTATTGCATCTGTTTACAACTTGCCTAAGACGAAACTTTACTCGGCGTACCGCGGCGTCCGCGGCTCGGGACGTTAGTATAGACCGTACTGTAGAAATATTTTGCGATTGTTCTTTTTATGTCGAATGTTGACACGATTTTCATGGCTGGGTGAAATCATCGTTCTTCACGTGGTCACGTGATCCGATCCGATATGGGACTGGAACGGGGTGTAGCTGTGGACCTGGCCAAAGAGCAAAAGTTAAACTACGGAGATGACATGACCAGCATTTTAAGGCAGGCGCGGAAACGTCGCTTCCAATTGAGAGAAGAGCAGAGAATCGCGCAAGACATCGAATTACAGTCGTATTTGAATCAATTGATACTGGAGGATGCCGAAAGAACTTTGGCCAATCTCAAAGAACAGGAGAGTTGTAACGCTGCGGCGGTGGCAGCGGCGGCGGCAGCGGCGGCAGATACAGATGGTGGGTGTACAAGTGGAGAAGCCGCGTCCATCGAGTTCACAAGAAAGAAGGAGGAGATCGAAGAAAAGAGAGATACGTGTATGGCTCATCTGAATGATTTGTTCGCGAAAGTCGACGAAAGAAGAAGGGTGAGTTCATGCACGAGTTTAGAAAAACATCGCGCAAAGGCGCTCACATATGTACGAATGAATTAATTACACTTTTCTTCGTGTTTTTATGAACGCGCGCGCGAAATAGAAGAGGGAAGTACCTGACTATTTGTGTGGGAAGATTAGTTTTGAAATTTTACAAGAGCCCGTAATTACACCCAGTGGGATCACGTACGAGCGAAAAGATATCGAGGAGCATTTGCAAAGGGTGGGACACTTCGATCCAGTCACTAGAGTTCGCTTAACTCAGGATCAGTTGATCCCTAATTTGGCGATGAAGGAAGTAGTAGATACATTTTTGCAAGAAAACGAATGGGCATTATACTATTAACACGTAAAGTTAGATTACTGCCGTATCTTTATCATAATTGCATTACGTATATTCTGATAATTTTTTGATCCTGTTTGGTAATTTACACGATTGTGCGTATCATTATCTCGAGATCAGTAAACATGCATACATACATGCGTGTGTATACACATGTACGTTTCATTTCAAATGTTTTATACCGATTCAATTACCTGAACGACCGACGATCGAAGACGAGTAAATAAATGATGATTTCGTTTAGTTTACAACTTTTTCCACACCACAAAAATGGATTAAAGGAAGACTAGCACACGATACCCTTACACAACGGGATAACTAACGACGTAGACTATGATTAAATAAGGGTATAAAAACTGTAAATGTCTCTTATAAATAATAAATCTATTGTTTGGCGTACAATCAAGTACTTTTTTTGTTCCAATTACATAGACTGCAGTTGTTCATTCAATAAAACATGAATATAGTTAGTCGGTAGTAGTAGTAGTAATAGTAGTAGCAGCGGTAAGTTTGATGATTGTTCATTCTGCACTTGTGTTACAAGTTCGAGTATATTTATTTTATTAGCTCCTAATGTTCCGATATTTACAGTCGACGCGTAATCCGTCCGTATTCGTCAACATTACCGTAAAATATTATTAACATTACCGACTGTGCGGCGAAATTAATTGTTCTTAAAATCCGTAAAAAATAAGTAGTAGTACTCTAAAGGAAAATGAAATTCAGAGCAACAGTACCGATAGCTAAGGCCATAACGGGTGGTACATAGTATTGACAAAAAGATGGACGGGGCGTTGCTCCCATCAACAATACGACCCATCCCAAGAAACATAATATACTGGAGAGTATTTGGGATCGAATTTTACGATCATTAGACGGAATCTGTACCCATCCCATTGTACTGTACGTTACCAAAAGTATCCAGCTTTGTAGCAGTAGAGGATCTTCGTTGGACAGCCTCATGTCATAGCTGAATGAAATGAAACAGCCATTTAAAATCTGAATTTGAACTTGGTAAGAATTGACATTTGTTCAGATCGCGCGTAGAATTAACAATAATAATAACGACAACAAACCTGAAATTTCTTGCCCAAACGAGTGCAGAGGGAACAGCCGGTATAGCGGTAAGACACCAAAGTAAAAAGAATAAAAGATGATTAAATATCTTTTGTTTCGTGTCCTCGTTGTCGTCGTTGTCGTGTCGTTCCTCGTTGTTATTTTTAGTGCTTCGGAATCGCGCCATCCAACTGAAGTGTTGTCGTAACGAACCCATTAACAATTCTTCCAAATAATCCTCGTACATTCTCGTCAAGTTCAAGAAATACAAAAACACCGAAACTATCATGGCCAGAGCTCCGCAAGTAGCAGGAATTAAAGAAAGAACAAGAAGCGCGGTGATGAACGGTAACTGGTTCAATCCTCCGAGCAGCCAGTCGGACCAGGTCGTTGAAAATGCAATTGCGCGGGCGAGAAATCTGAAAATTGACAGACAGCCACACGATCACAGCCACAGTAGATTCGAGACGCGATGTAAACGCGAAATAAGAGATCACCTTACCTAACGGCGATACTATGGGCCAACGAACCGAGGAGTACGACGGAACAGCACAGCCCAATTGTGAACACGCAGAGAATCGCCGAAGCGACGAGACATTCGAACGTCAACTCGTAACAGAACGAGAGACATATCGTGATTACCAGTATCGGAGTTCTCTCGTGGCCATGAGTAATTCTCGTAGATAAAATTAACAACAGTAAGGCAACGGCAGTCGTATATAAGAGGTGCCAACGATCCCTCACGATGCAAGATATTCGATCTATGATACCTGCTTTTTTAATATCTATCATATAAGAACACGCAGGATCCAAAGTTAATCTTAGACTTGGAAAAACGTCAGGCTGTCTGGGTCTCGTCTGAACTTTCATCGTTTTCGGCCCGTTATCCCTGTGTATGTGTATGTATGTATGTATGTTTGTGTACGTGTGTGTGTGTGTGTGTGAGAGAGAGAGAGAGAAAGTATGCAATAAACTCTTGTCATACATACGACTATGATCAGTACTTGAAATATACTTACACGACTGTAAAAAATTGAATTTGTGAAACTCCCACGCTCCATGGCTCTTGCAATTCGACCATCGCATGTTTCGGGTCAGTACATTCCGATCGTACTTTCAATTCAACCGTCACGGTGTTTATAAACTCGCCGAACAAGACGTAATATCTGACATGACCGAGATCAGATCTTCTGACTTTAGGCTTTGTCAATAGATCTTTCAGTAAACCGTTACCTCCGATTGGTCCGATCACTCTTGCATCGTACGAATACAAATCAACGTTAACCGTAACAACATGGTCTTCTAAACTATCCGGCAGAATTCTTACTACAACGTGCGTTACGCCAGAATATTTTAGCAAATCTTGAAGATCCAAGTCGACCGTTTTTCTAAGTCGATGTTTGAGCGGATCCGGCATGATCCTCGTTCTATTCGTCAAATTCCAGCCCCAGTTGCTAAAACGAACGTAAAGGTACGACCGTTGTCGCATTGAGTGGATACTCGCTGATGCGATGACGCGATTGGAATCTGCATGAAAAATGTTATATTACCAAACTCTCGATTGTCCCTGTACACTGGATGCTGAACATACGAACAACCAATCCTTAGTTTCTAAATTTGTAGTATCGATAGTTAAATGATCTGGTTGTCCGTTCAATCTAATCATAAGATAAACAGGGGACGTCCTTTTAGACAAGTTTTCGTTACTCCACGCATAATTTCTTTGAATATTCTCTATCCACTCACCACCAAATTCGAATTGTATTTTCTCTTTATAGGAATAGAACTTTTTCCCAGAGGCACGCTGTAAAATCGTTCGATGTTTAGTTTCGTCGTCGTTGTCATCGTCGTCGTTGTCGTCGTCATTGGTGGTAGTCAGCATAAGCCAGCGCATATTATAGCACGCGTATAAAATTCAACTTTTACTGATCAGTTGTTGTTCTTACATGATTAAGATGATACGATAATGCCCGGATTCTCTCTTCGGACTTGGGAAATATCCTCGCCTGTCTTTGAGCGTAACTGACGCAATCAAACAAAGAACGTACAACAGAGAAGACCAACTGCTTGCACCATAGTATGCTCAGATGATCCGTAGATTTCCAGACGGCGGGTACAGTGTTTGAAATAACATTGATATTGGCCGTTGTGTCCAAAGTCTGTGTCGGTGTTATTAGAATATCGCGTGGTCCACCTCCTATCGATATCACGCTCGTCCCAGCATCTTTTATCGCGCTCAAACGGTCCTCCAAATTGTGATAATAGCTGGCGAAAGTATGGTCCAACACCAATGTAGGTATATGAGGAGTAGCTAAAGTAAAAATGATACTTGCAACGCTGGCATTTACATTTGGCGTCATGACGAGAGAACCTTTAGCTATGATTCCTCCCTGTGAATAAAAAGAAGGGGAATAAACGCAGTTGCAACACGGCCCATCGTCCGACACCCATAACCGCAACATGCGTCGTCGTACTCATCGTCGTCGTCATCGTCGTCGTCATATTTACCATGGAGTGTCCGATTAGCACGATGCTTTCTACGTTGGTTTTATACAAGCTTAATATCTTCCGTATACAGTGCGATACGTACGTTGTCTCATCCATTAGTACACCTTGAATCAATAACTTGATTAGTGTTCCCATTTTCTCGCATCCCTTAATCTGGAGCCTGGTTCACTTTTGTTCGTACCTCCGTACAAAGCGGAATAATCCTTGCCCAATGATACAGTGAAATAATCAAAGTGAAACGGAGTTCTGTCGTTTAAACTTTTCCTCAGACTTACAGATGCCAGGGACCTCACTAGACACGGAACACGTAGAAAAACAACAATTATCAAGTCTGTTGACGTATACTTTCGTCGGCGGCGGAAGCGTGAGAACACGTTCAGAACCTTGTTCATGAGATCCAACGTTGCCTGGTATAAAGAGTACCGGTATCCCTGAGAAAAACATTCTTCTGAGCTTCTCGGTGACAAAACCTTCTCCGTACGCATACAATCCGTACCTTGGATACCGCTGTTCTATTTCATTGTCCAAGGAAATTCTCTGATAATATAGCAACGTGGTAAAGAGTCGTTTAAAATTTTTACGTATCTATACGATCGATTTATCATAGTTGGAGGTAGGTATTGAAGTAAAGTGAAATGAAGTTACACAAAGCGTCAATCGTCAATTCGTTAATCGAAAAATTGCGCATTTACGTACCACGTACTGTGGGTACTCAAACATGTATGTCATGTCGCAAGTATTTTCCTCGAAATCTGTAACGTAGCGAGCCGCTCCCAGTATGTAGAATAAGAGAAACAACATGAGCAGTAAAAAGCATACTGTATAAATGAATATAGATCTTATTCGGCACATTTCGTTCATTCAACCCTAACCACCAAATTTTACATCCTTCGGTTCGCCGACACGGTCATTACAGAATCTGGCATCTGGCCCAATCTGGCCGTTACCATGGAGATACGCGACGTGGGCGCGGACGCTACATGAAGAGAACGCCACTAATCGCTCCTAGAAAATGGCTCACATCTCGGATACCCCTTCCGTCTTCTGTCACAAAATACCGCAGGCAATGCTCCGTCCTTCAAGTCCATGGTATATAAAAGTCTATAGTTTTAACTTTGTTCAGTGGGTTCAGTGTTGGTTCAGACTGAATCGTTCAGTGTGTTTTGACTTTTGGCTGGCTGATTGCAGAACAAACTCGAAGCAACAGCTGGTCGTGAAAGTTAATGACTTTTGATGACTCTGATTACTGATTATTACATACACATAGTGTACAATATACGATTGACCGGTATCGTTATACAATAAAACAGTTCAGTTATTGCAATTGTTATGTGCAATTATGGCCCGTGTTACATTTAATTCATCAACCAATCGTAAGTTCGTTAATAATAAGAATAACTGAAGAAAATATTTAATCTCATTGTAATATTAAGAATTGCCTTTTTAATAGCATACTGGGTGACATACTTAGACATATACAAAATAAATTGAAAGACTTGCTCTAATTTTGAACTGTACATTTAACAATTTTAGTTTATGATTACATTAATATTCTATGTACGGTTTTCTAAATATATCTTCTTTAAATATGATACAGAGTTAATATGCTTGAAGTGCATAATAAAAATATGCAATCTTATCTGGCATATATATCTGATGGACTTTACACTGTAAAAGACAAATACTTATAAGGCTATGTATATGTCCATAAGCAAACATACATATATCGGTTGAAGATGAAAGTTACTTACAATTGCAAATAATCTTAAACAAACTAATGTAACTACTTGTACTTTTGAGTAAACCGTTAGGAAATATTAAATATCTGTAAAATTTTTTATAAAATCAATATCGATTTTATTTCGAAGATGCAATACTAATATTCTATTTTCTTTGGCAGTACAGAGGATCAAATGGATCGTTCAGAGAGCCTATTCCCAAGAATCAATCTTCCCAAAAATTACGACCCATTATACCGTTGTGCCCAGAGAAACAGATTCGAGATGGAAAGGTAATATCGAATATTGATACGTATGAATGATTCTTATTAATTTCATAATGGATATAATATAATAATATAATATAAATAAATATTTCAGACGTGAGTATGGAAAGATATGTAGACGAAACCGACATCTTGATCGTTGGAGGTGGACCAGCAGGGCTGTCTGCAGCCATTCAAGCTCGCAAATTAGGCGAAAAGCATGGGAAAGATCTAAAAGTCACAGTAGTTGAAAAAGCATCTACTATTGGAGGTCATATACTCAGCGGGGCTTGCTTGGATCCTGTAGCACTAAATGAATTGTTTCCCAATTGGAAAGAATTAGGAGCTCCATTAAAGACTCCAGTCACTAAAGATAAATTTGCGTTCCTAACTGAGAAGAGTAGGATACCAATACCGATTTTGAAAGGAATGCCCATGTACAATCATGGAAACTACATAGTTAGGTAAGATTTTTAACATCTCATAAATCATATGGAATCTATAGATCATTGTCATTTTAGATTAGGTCATGTCGTGGCGTGGTTGGGCGAACAAGCTGAGGCGATGGGTGTCGAATTGTACCCTGGATACGCTGCAGCGGAAGTTCTCTATCATGAGGACGGTTCCGTTAAAGGGATCGCTACAAACGACGTCGGTATTGCTAAGGACGGCTCACCTAAGGACACTTTTGAACGAGGAATGGAATTGCATGCTAAGTGCACCATCTTCGCCGAGGGATGCCATGGCCATCTAACGAAACAGGTTTCGAGGAAGCTGAACTTAAGGAAAGATTGCGAGCCACAGACATATGGAATTGGTTTGAAGGAGGTAACGAACGTTCGATGGTGGCCAGAAATTTGGAAGAATATATATAATGAAATGAGAATTGAGCTCGTTAGTTAGTGGGTTAAAATCGATGGTGTTGTTAGATTTGGGAAATAAACCCGGAGAAGCATAGACCGGGTACTGTGGAGCATACCATTGGTTGGCCCCTAACGAAAGACACTTACGGTGGCTCTTTTCTGTACCATCTCAACGAGGATACTCCCCTTATTGCTATCGGTTTCGTTATCGGTTTAGATTACTCAAATCCTTATTTGCATCCCTTCAAAGAGTTTCAAAGATACAAGCTGCATCCCAGTATCAGGCCCGTGCTGGAAGGAGGCAAGAGGTAATCATATAAGCTACACTTATATCGGATAGCAGATTTCGTCGCTGTTCTTTCAAAGCCTAACATTTAAAAGCCAGTCATTGTATCATTTTAAAGAAAAATTTTATCACTTATAACTTGAACTGAAAACTTAAATTTTACAGTATTCGACTTTAATTACAAAGCATAATCCGTTATTTCGAGTATGACTCATGATATCATTGATGAGACTAACTTATTGTAAGTGTGATGTTAATATGCATATTGATCACTGGACCATTTTGTTAATGTCGACTTCAAGCTAGTTGAATTTGAAACACAGAATTGCGTATGGTGCAAGAGCACTGGTCGAGGGCGGTCTTCAATCCCTTCCGAAGCTACAATTTCCCGGTGGTTGCCTAATCGGCTGCACCGCGGGATTTCTAAATGTGCCTAAGGTGAAGGGAACGCACAACGCTATGAAGAGCGGGATGCTCGCTGCAGAGAGCGTGGTCGAAGCAATAATTAACACTGAGAGTAATCCGTCACCGACGAAGGGCTTAGAACCTGTTACCTATACCGAAAAAATCAAGAACAGTTGGATTTACAAGGAGCTGAAGGCTGTGCGAAATATGAGGCCTAGTTTTCACACAAGTCTTGGAATATATGGAGGTGTGTTGTACTCTGGGTTTTCCATGCTGATCGGGGGAAGAGAACCATGGACCCTCTCCCATGGAGGTAATTTTGATTTCGTATATCGAGTTCGAAAATCAAGTATATCCAGTAGTATCGAGTTGTATCGTATCGCCTTTGCTTATTGTCTAATCTGATGTATCGCACTTTTTGTATGTTTATTAGGGCCGGATTACAAGAAATTGAAGTCAGCATCCGAGTGCACGCCCATAGAATACCCGAAACCGGACAACGAGGTTTCTTTCGACCTGTTATCATCGGTAGCTCTTACTGGTACCAATCATGAAGGAGATCAACCACCCCATCTGACTTTGGCCGACGACAGTATTCCAGTAAAAATGAATTTAGCTAAATTCGCAGGGCCTGAGGGTCGATTCTGTCCAGCTGGTAAGTAAAGAAAAGTTTTATATTATCCTTTAATTAAATATAGAGTCATTCCACTACAACGATGTTACAATCATAGCGCGATTGTCTAACTAAATTCAGTAAGAAATATCAGGCATTTATAAAATGAAGGCGATCTTCGTATTTCGCTGGAAAAGTGAAACGATGAAATAATTGCAGCACATTCTGTGCTGTTGGAACATTTTTTTACGATTAATGACTTAGTTGTTTGAAGTCGTCACGTTACGAAAATCACCTTGTGTGCAAGTTGAGTCATCAGAACTGAGACAGCTCAATATCTCAATTAATATTTTATAAGAATTAAAAATTTATTACACGATCCTACGTACAAATAATGAAAAAACTCTTAAAGTATAATAAGAGATAGCAGCAGAGTTGATTTTCATTCCTCGCTCCTCTTCTTTTATTTCGATTTGGTTCCTCCCACCTCTTCCGATTCCGTCTGGGTTTATCGACCGACGCGTCCTTGAACTTGAGCCACCCGGACGCCCCTCGCGGCTAGACGCCACCCTCTGCTCAATCGGATTCGCAAGTTCCCGAAATTCGTGGCCAACAACCTCCATTACATGCACGTGATGTATATGCGTCCATAAGTTGTCCCCTTGTCCGTCGATAGAAAAACTTGAACGAATAATTCATGGCCAGGTAGAGACTACACAGCTTATTAAACCGATTTTATAATTAAAAGATATGTGAGATCAATACGTACAGTGACTCAGAGAATTGTCAATTGAAAGCGTAATGTGTTCCAGATTAACTTTATTCTAATAATCTTTAATTTGTACAGTACTGCTACGTGATGTATGTGTGGCTCTGAGTTTTCAAATTTTTTTTAAGTGATCAATTTTATAATGAAACTAGTACTGTTTTAAGTGTAGATAATAGAGCTTTTCAAATGGATCACTGCGTAGCAGCAGTAGAAAAGTGTTCAGATAAGTATAATCGTAACTTATTTGATTGATTGTACACACCTATGTGTGTATCCTTTTTCTTTCCTTCTCTTCCTTCTCCCAGAGAGTTCCGTTGTCGGGGAAACGGGGAGGAGCTCGGAGCTCTGGGGTTGTTTTCCTACAGGATAACTCTGAAACGTCTGGACTGGTGGGGTCGAGGTTATCGACTGTCTAGCAAAGGTCATGGATTCGACCTTCGAAACGGGATTACATTCGTTTTAATTGCGACATTTATTGGGTTTATTTTATTAAGCTTGTTGCATGGGCGCCTGTTTTAGGTGTATACGAGTTCGTGCCTCTGGAGACTTCGAACGGCGAAAGGCTGCAAATAAATGCACAAAATTGTATTCACTGCAAAACTTGTGACATCAAGGACCCCAGCCAGAATATCAATTGGGTAGTACCGGAAGGAGGCGGTGGTCCAGCTTATAACGGGATGTAAATTTCGAATACGAGATAATTTTGTACTATAATTAAACTATTTTTTATAATCATTAATATACAACAACGAAATATTTTATTTACAATCAACTGTTATTTACCTTTTCTAAATAAAATGTTGGAATATTACCGTTGATTCGTGTCTTTTAATTGATTTCACACGACACGCATGGTACTTTTGTAGAATGATTCTTCCCAAAATGATTTAAAATATGAATAAGAAATATAAAAAGAATTCAACACATTGTAATATTATAATGGTATTAATTGTTTTAAGTCACATTTTACAGATATCTTAAAATGAAACTGCATTACTAATAATGCTGTGTCTTATATTAATTTTTTTTTGTTATCGTAACCGGATAACTTATGTTTAATTTAATTTGAAGAGTGTCCACGTATATCCGACGTGTTATTTTGTACATAACCGGAAGGTGTTAACGGAGAATGATTGGAACTCTTTGGATCGTTCGGACGCAATGTGATTTTGCAGGTAGGCTGCGGCGGTCGTTGCCGGATTTCCCGGGCCTCGGTGATCGGTCACCATGGTAACCACCCCAAAGCCGATCCGGGAGTGCATTCGTGTACAGGGTGTCCCTTAACACCTGTACAATCTGATTCAATCGTACGTATGTACCATTTATACCTAGAGAATGTAACGAACTGCGTTGAGTGGTCTATTAAAAATGATATGATTCCATTTAAAGGAGTGCTGTCTGAAATCTCGAAAAATAATTCCTTGAGATGGCCTTCACTCTCACTGTCTCGTGTTCTCTTTTAAGTACGACGACTTTCTCCCGAAACATTTTTCTATATATAAATATAACGGAGTTATTCGGACTGGGATAGATAAGTGAGACACCCTGTATAAAGCGTCTCTCACGTTCAATGCATTTCTGGATGCATGCTCTAAATGAATATATCTAATCGCTTTAAGCAAATTTATATCATCATTCATGGTCAAGCGTGCAGTAATAATTCGCTGTGGCACCTTACGCTCGCCTGATTCTCTGAGGGAAAGAATTTTAACGATAACGCATAACATATCTCGAGTAAAATAAAATTTCTGGGGAAATACACAAGTATATGCGTCTACTTAAGAGCAAGTTCATCCATATGGCGGTTAAACAGAAACCAGAAGCTGTCGAACGCGAGAAAGAACATCTGCCCTCTTTTTTTCCGCAGCTGCTGTCAACTATTTAACGTTTGCTACTGTTATCACCATTTAGAACGCATCGGATCGCTTTCAATAACAAATAAAAAAAAAGAAAAACAAAAATGCTAGAAATGCGGGAAGCTGGTTGAACAAGAAAAGAAAAAGATTGAAATATGATTTCGTAAAAACGGTTCAATATTCCATAAAATTCGAATCATTTTTAGTTCATCTTAACTTCATGACTAGAAAACGAGGCCCTCGATTTCTTTCAAATTTTGCTACACTTATACATGATAATAATTATTTATTTACAAAATTTCGGACAGGCGTCGATATTTTAATTATAGTTAGGACAATCTTTGAGGAGATCGGATTTCTGTTCCTATTACCATAAGATCACGACGGGATCATTGTAGAGTGGTAACACAACAGGTACATTTTCTCGGGGTTTCCCGATGAGCAAAAGCCACGCGTACGGGTTTTTTCGGTGAAATTGTCGAGGGTTGCGCACGTTCCACGATCTCTCGCCCCCCTTTCTCCCTTTTATTCCTTCCTTTTTCCCCCCTCGTCTGGCTGTTCTTCTTAGGTGCAGCTGCTCGAAACCATCTGCTATCATATACAGGGTAACTCTGAAATAATGACTATATACGTATTGTAGTAGACGATTGACGCGGATCGAGTTCTGTAAAGAAACTGTATCTACGTAAATTGTTACTCAAGTATAGTGAATGGCGATGAGTCTGCATCAATCAATATGCAAATATAGAAAGTATTTGCATACTATAAAATAATGCAAATATAATTATGTGTCTGATTGATATTCATATTCTTAAAATGCAGCGCGTGGTAGCTGCGATAATAAAGCAGTATACAATATAAGCATAAGCTTAACGCAGCCTGTGTGTATGCTCATACATAAATGTATGTATGTATTTACATATATGTGTTATATTACATATGTATATAATGAACGTGTGCGCAGCACGCGTCGGGATGATCCAGGGAGCAGAAAATGACGATGATTTAGGGGGAATAGAACGAATTTAGGGGCGCATTGTGCTCGATTCCTGTCTCGATGCCAGCTGTTCTCTCCTTTACCCCCTCTGGGCTTTGTCGAGCCGCGTCCGAAAATTAATCGAAAAGGATGGGGGGGAGGGGGCGCCGATCGTGCATGGCCAAAACCGACCCCTCTCGATCGAGAAATATTAAATAGCATGACCAGCACCCGGGGGCGAGTCGGGCTCCCAACAATATAAGGGGGTACTTGGTCAGATGAGGGGATTACAGGGCCACGTGCCACGAGCATGGGAACATATAATGCTGTCTACGGGGCCACGTGTCCACCACGTAACGGGTGTGACAGGAGAAACTCGCCACCGGTTGCTCTTCAATAGTAACTTATTTGAATTGCACAGATGCGAAGTACGTAAGGAGAGAAGGGTCGCTTGCAGGATAACGTGATTATTCAGTAAATGGGAATGCCAAGAGACAACGAGATGGAATAAACCAGAAAGAAATTGTTATAGAGTTGTTACTACAAAATAACGATACCATCAAGGGACGTTAAACGGTTCTAGTTTGTCGAAATAAAGACACAACTACTTACATAGGTGTATATAATTGTAAAAAAAAGCTATTCATTTTATACTACATTTATACAAAGTAACAGTACATGAGCACAATCATAAAAATTCATCTGTTTAGTTTATTCGATTTGTTGATTCGCGGCGAAATTTCTGGTACGTTGCAGATACATAGTGGAGGGGTCCACGAGTCGAACGCGGCGCGGCGGTTCTCGCGGATCGATATAGCACCAAGGGGTGGCTACGTTATGGGGTTGATTCGCTAGCGGCATACGGGACTTGCTGCCAGCTCTGTACGATACGATGGGGAGAACGTATCTATGTATAAAACCTTTACGAACGTGAATGCACTACACCGATTACTCGATACCTAATTGAAATAGAGACGAAATTTCAAGTAGATAGTTTTCCCTAATAGTTAATGAATCAATCGAAAGTCGTATTTTACATAGATTGCAATCGTCAGAAGTAAATTGAATTTGTCGGTCGTTTGCAAATAGGAAAAGTTTACTGAATCGAAAGATTTCGGATGCGTCGTTAATGCAGTTGTTAAAAATGCATGGATCGTGCGTTCCCATCTGCATCACAGATCGGCGGGACCCAGGAGTAAAGCCCTTGGCCCCGGAATCTCCTGGCAACTCGCTAACCGACCTCCACCGCCTGGCTGCAACGCGTCAATATTCGTCGAACACCCCCATCCGCGAATACTACTACCCCAACCTCGGTCCCGACTCCAACCCCAACCTCTGCAGCCTCGAGCCCCGGTGTACAACCGGACGCAAGCGCGATTCCTCTCCTCGGCTTCGAGTGCTTAATCTTGACTAAAAAGTTTTCCCAAATTAAGCGTTATTTTAAGACCTTAATTACCGTGGACTAAAATATACTTCTTTCATACTTTTGATACACTGCGGAAATTTCGCATTTATGGCATTGATTTAAAAAATTCATTTCACACAGACATTTGTTTTATCTTTTAAGAATTATAATATGCATTTCTAATAATCTGTACATTTTTATACAGGCATTCTTTACTTTGTACGTCATAAAAAATTCTCACTACTTTTGGACGTACTAATTTTACAAAATGTTTATGTGTAATTAATTATGAATGGGTTGTAGTGTTAATCAGTTTGATACTTAAAAGTAAGTAACGGGACACTTTGAACCTTGTGTGTGTGTGTGTCTGCAGGTGAATTGTAAGTAATAAGAAGATTATATTACACGCTGCGGAAATGAGCAGACATTAAGGATAATTGAATCCTGCCTGCGCTTACGTCATTATAAGTACGTATATAATATGTATTTAAAAAGCTGTCTATTGTCGTAGGAACAAGTCTGTTCACCTCGGAACGTGTCTTTTTATATCTTTATACTCTCTACAATCATTTTGTGAACGTATAAAATCCACAGTCTGATAATAGCAATAATAACATGATAATGATGCATAATGGATGTACGCCTAACTAATTGGGCCGAAATTAAATACAGGCGAGTAATCGTCGCCGTTAGCGGCTCGTCCCGAGCGATGTGTGTACGCGGCGAAAGCACAATCGGTTAGGTGCACATCAAAGGGAGACAAATTGCAATGAATAAATGAGATGAAAATCAGAAGATAAGGTTGGACGCGCAACATGTACTGTATATTCATCCCGAGAGGCAGGAACTTGCGCTTGCCAGGTACATCCAGCCCCGTTCCCTCCGTCTGGAGGGGTGGGTAGCATCAGCAGCAGGCCACCCTCTCCTTCTCGCAGAGTCCTCTACTATTCCTAGTGCGTTCGACCTGCTTGCTGTCGTCAACACCATAGTCGTTTGCGAGACGCTGTCGAAGTTTGCGGACGGTTCTAAAAAATAAGTCGCGTCGCCGTGGAGACAGTCCAATTTTTTTTTATCCGCGAGCCTCGTCGGACGTACGTTCGCGTTTTAATCGAATGTAAAAATAGTATACGTAATCGCGTGTGTTGAAGATGAAACAAATATTTTTTTAACAGCCTGGGAAGTTATTGTTCGGTGTTTCTTCCCTGTTTAACTCCTGGCTATTTTTCTAAATAGTGTTCACCGCGTCCCCTGCTTGCTTTTTCTCGTTGCGAAAAATAACGTTATTTCGTTCAATTCGACGAACTGTGGTCCATAGTGTTAGGATTCTCGGATTTTTCATAACAGCCACCGTTCGCAATTATCACGTGATAAATCCTACGAAGAAATCGCATGGCCAGCCCAAGGTAAGGTATTTATTAATGCTATCGAATAAATTGAAAACGATTGCAAGGACAAATATTCAATTAACGATGAACGAGCGAGAATGAGAAAAATCACCAACATTGCATTTAATATGTTATACGCATACACG